CTCGAGTTCCTTTCGAGCAAATGCCGCCCATACTTCTAATTCTAATGCTTCAAGATCACCTTTTTTCACCCAGGGAACTATAAGATATAATCAACTCTCCACACATTAAACTTCTCCCAACTATCAAATCAATCACATACTATCAAAACTAATGAACCCAGATCCAAAAACGCACAAGATTTAAAAATCCACACACAACCCAGATCCCAAAAGAACAAAAAAGGACTAAAATGAATCAAAAAGCCAAGCCTTTTCTATCAAATTAAGAAACCCCAGGTCCCAAAATCAAATAAAAAAAAAAAATAATAAAACCCTTCTTTAACTTGGAAAATGCAAGTACAAAACCATACCAACAAAGACCAAACCGAAATTTCAGAAACTGTAAAAGAGAAATTTGTTAAAGAAAATGTATGCGCTTATGACAAAGAATATTTTCGGTGCAACAGACACCAATGAAGTAGGTATCCAACTAAGAAAGCAGACAAAACTGACCAAAAATAAGGTTTGGGGGAGTTTGATAATGAAATGCCTCCTCATGCTCATTTTTTCTTCTAGTTGTTAAGGTAGAAAGAGGGATTATTAATTCTAATTGTTATATACAAGTGTTACATCGTTTAGTAGATATAATTTGATATACAAACTTGCAAGATAAAATCTTACTAAAGTAAGCGAGAAAGAAACCTAAGTAGTTAAACCATTAGCCTCAAACATAAAAAATATACCCTAAATATCCGAAAAGCCCAAGTGTGGATTTAAAAAGTTTAAAAAATCCTGAACCAGTTAAGGCTTGACGATTTCTCATAAACGATTGAAATTAACCCTAGATATGAATGCAAAGTATTTCCACTATCATGTCCAGACCAAGTATTTTTAAAACTATTAAATATATCCCTAAAAACATAAAAAACCCCTGTAAATATACTTTCATTTGTGTTTATTTTGAGGACGGTGTAAATGGTTTTAAGTTTGATGAAATTAAACTTAAGGTGCATTTCAGATTTTTTTTAGACTTTCAAAAGTGCTTCCAAACAATTCAGAGGATTTGAGAATGATTCGGAGTGCTTCTTGAAAGAAAAACCTCATCAAAAAGGTCAACCCAACTGTTTTTGAGGAAACACTTCGGACAAAAAAAGCTTCTCACAGAAGCACATATGAAGATAGAGTTTCTCTTACTGATTCCATTGCAAACAAACTCCAAAAAAATCAAACAGTATACATATGGAATAAAATTTATCTGATAAATGTACAAGTATAAACAAATAAACAGATTTCTTAAAACTGAGTGTAAACAGCTAAATTTATGAGGCAAGTCAATACAATTACAAATTGTTGCAGAAACTATTCTGCTTTCATTGCTAATTTCTTCACAGAAGCAGTGAGATCAAAAGGCCATAAAACAAGCCCTGTGAATTACTAAAGAACTCCCTCTAGCTTGTGTGATAAATTCACTATATTTTGGTTACGATCAGTTTGGCCTATACATATAATGAGGTAAAATTTGATTTACGTAAAATATAATTAGCTGTACAAGGTATACTCTTGACACATTTGCTAAAGAGACCTATTCCTTAAACAACAAAAAACTGATTGCTGTGTCTACCTCAAAATCCATTGCCACAAATTTACATTTGGCAATGGCTTTAATTTGCTTTCCTATCCACGTCTTTGAATATCGAAAGTATTTTTTTATGGTTAGAACTTGGCAGCGACTATCTGATCGTAAAAGTATTTTGCTGTGGGATGGTCCAGCACAACTGTTGTTGCCAAGCCTTTTTAGCGGTGAGAATAGTCAGATTCACGGAAGGATTGTTTCATCCTAGTATGTGAATCAAAAGGATCCTGCACGGACCTTCTGGATCAAAAATTAGATATGTAAGAGTTTCCTTTCAAGTGTCACCTGCATTTTCCTGTTGTGAAGAAGAAACTGCGTTTGTACATTATCGCCATAGGTTTTCTGGGCCTTGGTCTTGCAACACGAGCTTTGCGAACAGCGTGTGGATTTGCCTTTCATGTTCTCTCAGCATTTCCTCCAGGTTTCCCCCTGGTGGATCAATGGTCCAGAGTAATGGATCCGGTTCTTCTTGGGAAGATAACCCTGCACTCAATAGAAAAGACTAAGATATTAGTTCATAATTACAGAATGGTGCAATATATGATTTAAGTTCCAACACACATTGCAAAAGAAATTTGCTCAAAATTTTTAGAATGAAAAATGGAAACATAGTAAAAATCCTTTAATAGCTCTATAACTCATATGTTGTGTGCGTGCATAAGCATGTATAATTTAGCCAGTGATTTAATGATTCCAGTATTTCTTACCAATGAAGACTCTTTTTCAGATGGCTGTCATCCTTCTTATAAGTAGACTTCGACATATCCCGCAAGTTGACCAATCATGCTTTCCAGAGTCATTGCCCCACTTGGTATTAACTCTACTCTCTGTGCTACAATCAAACTGGGAACGGCCTCTAACTGCAACTGAATTGGAAAATTGGACAAACGGATGCAATTGGGTGCATGTAAGATCTTGGATTTCTCCAAATCCGCATCCCTCTGGGAGAGCCAAATGCCCCACTAGGACCTGTAAGATGCTCATTCTCACTCGCCCTCTACTCATGCAGTTCCTAAGGTACGGGCTTGTTTAATTGACCTGAATGGGAGTATCCATTTGTGTAGTCCTTTTGCTGGCTCAATAGGAAAGCAAGAACCAGCATCCTCTTGAGGATTGTACTTTTCACTAAAGCTTATAGCATTAGGCTGTCTTTGCCGCTTCTGCATTGTTGAAACATTTTACTTATCAAAGAAGCTAGATCATTGAAATTATAACAAAAACATGATTTAGTAGTCATGGTACAATATGAAAGCTAAAGTGGACTTGACATTGCTGAATTACCGTATGGAAGCCGGCAACTCAGCATTGGCATCTGAGCAGGCACAGCCTAGATCTCTGGAAGCTTGTCTCATTGTCTCCTGAGACGTGCTCTACCACCAGCAGCTCTTTCCTGTTTCCAACGAGCCAATCATAAGCTAGTGCATATTTTTTTCTTTAAAGGAAAGAAATTCTCTACTCCCTAACTAGTAATTAAGGGCAGGGTTGTATGAGATTTCTTCTTTGGTAGATTACAGAGATTCATCTCCTAGTCAAGAAAGGAATAAAAGGGACTGATTCTGCCAAGCCCAAACCTAAAAATAGCAGACCAACCAAACAAAAGTATTTTATATATGTTCAAGTTCAATAATTTCACCAAAGCATCACCGCTTGGTTATCCCACAACAGCTAATGATTTCTGTAAAAGGTATAATTTATCTGAATTCCAATGTAAGATGATCACGGAGTTATCAAAAGATAGCCTTGCACATAGAATTTGATAATATAACGATAGGAAATGGTCACCTGCTGTCCTCTCGAAGCTTGACATCAAACTCCTTGCTTGGTGGATACTTGGGCAAACTCAATGGATCACAAGGTAGTGGTTTTGTTGTGAAGAACTGGAAAAACAGAAACACATAATTAACCATTAGCCTGCAAATTCAACAGCATTAAACCATGAGAAGGGATTAGATACCGCAATGCTTGAAAACTTATCACTTTGAAGTGCAGAAGTAGCCGTTCCACGGACATCAGGTTCTGTTGCAAGAAGGGCTTCCAAAAGGGACAAAGCTGATGATGGGAAGTCCTTGAAAGTCTCAGCAACACATCGCTTGTAAGGATGCTGAGGTTGAAATGGTGGCATGCAGCAATTTTGATCTTTTCCAGTACTCTTCAGATGGTGAGCCACAAAGTTTGAAGATCTTATGCAATTGTCCCACCTATGAATATAAATTAAGAGACATTTGACATCCATTCAGTTTCAATACTGAGGACTAAATAGGCATTACTCGCAAACAATTTTACAATCCTACAAGTAAAATTATTTAAGTTGCGGAGTCAGTTAGCATTACAAGCATATAAGGTAGGCACCTCCATTAAGTTATAACCTCCTTATAGTAATAAAATTAGTTAGTCCCACCATTATGACTATAAAAATGTTTTACTGTATATATAGTAAAACCTCTCTATAGTGATACTCTATATAAAAATAAACTCTACATGGTCATAAAAAACTCTAGTCCCAATTTGGGATAGTTATAAATGAGAATAAACTCCACATTGTAATAAGTTATAATTTTTCTAATTCCCATCTTAAGGAAAGTTGCCTTCACATAGTAATAATTATCTGTATATTACCAAAAAATATATATTATGTTACATTAAAGGTTTAAGATAAAATAAAATATTTATCTAAAGTTGTTTGGGACAATGATTTATATTTTTAGAGTTGTTACCACATCTTTTACCTTACTAGTATGTAATAACTTGCTAGCATGGATACCTTCTTGTTGAAACCAAAATATTTTTAGCTTCTTAAGTATGTTTGGAGCTTCATGACACGAAACTTTTTGTATTTCCATACTATCATCCTTAGGATTATTTCCTTTATTTCATTGTCTAATTGTAGCAATGATTTTTTCTTCGGTTAAAGCATACACGATTTGTTGCTCATTTGGATGATCGAGGAAGACATTAATATCTATTCGATTGGTGTAGTGAAATTGACGAATCTGATCACTCAATTTTACAATGACTCTTTTATTCTTCTCGTCCACTTTATTTGTAACTTGCAATTCATCGAAATTAGGGGTCCTAATTTTGCAATGCTTAAAACCATTAGCAATTGTCTGTGGCTTCACATCAATTGACCATGCATCAACTGCATTTATAGTTCCATCAATTACACTTATCTTTGCTAGTTCCAAGACACGGTCTTTTATCTATTTCAAAAGTAGGCAATTGAAACGCTGAATTGAAATCCTAACACTGTACTACTAAAACATGAATTAAAAAATAAGAAATCAAAGCTATAATTTTTGTAATTACGCCTTCATTAAGTTATAACATCTTTATAGTAATAAAATTAGTTAGTCTCATCATTATGACTATAAAGAGGTTTTACTGTATATATAACGTTCTAACAATAATGAATTTTCCATTTCTGTTTGTTCTTCATTACAATCAAATCCCAGCTGTGTTATTAGTCTTTCATTAGATGAAAATCAAGAGGGCATTAGACTCTCCAATCTGTTTGTTTCCATGTAAAAACTCAAATGCCAGGACAAATTTCCTGCCAAGAAAATGCACACTCAATTTTCCCTGGAAAAAAAATGGGCATCAAAAGAACCGATTAAACATATCACAAAACCACCACAGAAAATCTATCTACTCAGGACAAAAGGTTCTCTGAGAACCATCTCTATGACTTGGAATTGTGAAATGTCTGAGCCTCCCTTCCTGTTTCTTCATGTAACCTTCACACAAAAATTCCTTGGAGAAATTATCCTCCACAACTCGATTCACATCATGCACAAACACTTCGGTTTCGCCAATTTCTTTGTTTCTCGCCATCATTCCTGCTGTATAAATCGCAGTCATTCTCCCCGGAGCCTCCTCGTAGTACCCTGTTGGCGCGTCCACCATTATCAGGTCCCATTTTATGTCATAAACTTCAGCCGGAAGACCCTTCAAGGCGAGCTGGCACATCGAAAATTTTGGATCACTTACTACCGTGCACTCGGGGCCCTTCCCGACTTCCATCAAGTTATTCGCCTGGTTCACTTTGCTGTCGTAAGTGACGTGGTAGGACTCCAGCATGGGAAAGCGCCGCCGGACTTGCTCAATCCAGGCTTCATCTTCTTCCAGGAAGATTGTTCTGCCTCCATAGTTGAGTGAGCTCCACATCAGGCTGTCGTGACCTAGCCCGAAAACGAGGAAATTGCAAGGGGATTTCTTCTCCAGGATTCTTGCTGTCACTGAGATCTCTTTGAGGGTTTGTTGTGGGGTGATTGTTGAAGTTGTGTAATGAATAAGAGCCTGTGCGAGAGATTTTGGGATTTTTGAACAACTTGGTGAGCAGTTTTCAGGATTTGATGATTCTTTCTTGGGAATTAAGGTTTTCGGAAGATGATTTGTTTGTGAAAAGGGGGAAGAAGATTCTTGTTTTGACAATGATAAGCTAGATCTCAACACAAAAAGGAGCAAGAAAGCAATGAAAACTCCAAGGAGGAGCACCTTGAAGCTCAATGTTGGATTGGCTTTAGTCCTCATTTCCAAAGAATTTTCAAGAATTGTGAAGATATGGTAAAGAGAAATGGAGATTGGAGGTTATATTTTGGGTAGATTTGGGGGAAGAAAAAATTGAATTGTAATGCTTAGACATGAAGGGAAGAGAGACTGACATTGGTGAGTGTTGACGAGGACAAGAGAGCTACTATGATTTTGCATGAAGCAAAAACAATAACAAAGGTTGGTGGATCTACAATGTTTGGTGGGAAGTTTTGAGTTATCATTTTCAGTTTTTCTTATTGATTTGGTGAAAATGGAATGATTTGTTTTTTATTAATGGTTGAAGCTACAGGTTTGGGGGAGTTTGATAATGAAATGCCTCCTCATGCTCATATTTTTTCTTCTAGTTGTTAAGATAGAAAGAGGGATTTATTAATTCTAATTTGTTTATATACAAGTGTTACATCGTTTAGTAGATATAATTTGATATACAAACTTTGCAAGATAAAATCTTACTAAAGTAAGCGAGAAAGAAACCTAAGTAGTTAAACCATTAGCCTCAAACATAAAAAATATACCCCTAAAATATCCGAAAAGCCCAAGGGTGAATTTAAAAAGTTTAAAAAATCTTGAACCAGTTAAGGCTTGACGATTTCTCATAAACGATTGATATTAACCCTAGATATGAATTTGCAAAGTATTTCCACTATCATGTCCAAACCAAGTATTTTTTAAAACTATTAAATATATCCCTAAAAACATGAAAAAACCCCTGTAAATATTACTTTCATTTGTGTTTATTTTTGAGGATAGTGTAAATGGTTTTAAGTTTGATGAAATTAAAACTTAAGGTGCATTTCAGAATTTTTTTAGACTTTCAAAAGTGCTTCCAAACAATTTCAGGGATTTGAGAATGATTCGGAGTGCTTCTTGAAAGAAAAACCTCATCAAAAAGGTCAACCCAACTGCTTTTTGAGGAAACACTTTCGGACAAAAAATGCTTCTCACAGAAGCACATATGAAATGAAATAGAGTTTCTCTTACTGATTCCATTGCAAACAAACTCCAAAACCAATCAAATCCAGTATCACATATGGAATAAAATTTATCTTGATACATGTACAAGTATAAACAAATAAACAGATTTCTATAAAACTGAGTGTAAACAGCTAAATTTATAAGGCAAGTCAATACAATTACAAATCTTGTTGCAGAAACTATTCTGCTTTCATTGCTAATTTCTTCACAGAAGCAGTGAGATCAAAAGGCCATAAAACAAGCCCTGTGAATTACATTAAAGAACTCCCTCTAGCTTGTGAAGATAAATTCACTATATTTTGGTTACGATCAGTTTGGCCTATACATATAATGAGGTAAAATTTTGATTTTACGTAAAATAATATTTTAGCTGTACAAGGTATACCTCTTGCACAATTTGCTAAAGAGACCTATTCCTTAAACAACAAAAAACTGATTGCTGTGTCTACCTCAAAATCCATTGCCACAAATTTACATTTGGCAATGGCTTTAATTTGCTTTCTCCTATCCACGTCTTTGAATCATCGAAAGTATTTTTTTTATGGTTAGAACTTGGCAGCGACTATCTGATCATAAAAGTTATTTTGTCTTGTGGGATGGAATCCATGCACAACTGTTTGTTGCCAAGCCTTTTTAGCGGTGAGAATAGTCAGATTCACGGAAGGATTGTTTCATCCTAGTATGTGAATCAAAAAGGATCCTGCACGGACCTTCTGGATCAAAAATTAGATATGTAAGAGTTTCCTTTCAAGTGTCACCTGTCATTTCTCCTGTTGTGAAGAAGAAACTGTGTTTGTACATTATCGCCATAGGTTTTCTGGGCCTTGGTCTTGTCAACACGAGCTTTGCGAACAGCGTGCTGGATTTGCCTTTCATGTTCTCTCAGCATTTCCTCCAGGTTTCCCCCTGGTGGCATCAATGGTCCAGAGTAATGGATCCGGTTCTTCTTGGGAAGATAACCCTGCACTCAATAGAAAAGACTAAGATATTAGTTCATAATTACAGAATGGTGCAATATACGATTTAAGTTCCAACACACATTGCAAAAGAAATTTGCTCAAAATTTTTAGAATGAAAAATGGAAACATAGTAAAAATCCTTTAATAGCTCCTATAACTCATATGTTGTGTGCGTGCATAAGCATGTATAATTTAGCCAGTGATTTAATGATTCCAGTATTTCTTTACCACTGAAGACTCTTTTCCAGATGGCTGCTCATCCTTCTTATAAGTAGACCTCGACATATCCCGCAAAGTTGACCAATCATGCTTTCCAGAGTCGTTGCCCCACTTGGTATTAACTCTACTCTCTGTGCTACAATCTAACTGGGAACGGCCTCTAACTGCAACTGAATTGGAAAATCTGGACAAACGGGATGCACTTGGGTGCATGTAAGATCTTGGATTTCCCAAATCCGCATCCCTCCTGGGAGAGCCAAATGCCCCACTAGGACCTGTAAGATGCTCATTCTCACTCGCCATCCTACTCCATGCAGTTCCTAAGGTACGGGCTTGTTTTAATTGACCCGAATGGGAGTATCCATTTTGTGTTAGTCCTTTTGCTGGCTCAATAGGAAAGCAAGAACCAGCATCCTCTTGAGGATTGTACTTTTCACTAAAGCTTATAGCATTAGGCTGTCTTTGCCGCTTCTGCATTTGTTGAAACATTTTACTTATCAAAGAAGCTAGATCATTGAAATTATAAACAAAAACATGATTTAGTAGTCATGGTACAATATGAAAGCTAAAGTGGACTTGACATTGCTGAATTACCTGTATGGAAGCCGGCAACTCAGCATTGGCATCTGAAGCAGGCACAGCCTTAGATTCTCTGGAAGCTTGTCTCATTGTCTCCTGAGCACGTGCTCTACCACCAGCAGCTCCTTTCCTGTTTCCAAACGAGCAAATCATAAGCTAGTGCATATTTTTTTTCTTTAAAGGAAAGAAATTCTCTACTCCCTAACTAGTAATTAAGGGCAGGGTGTAGTTGAGATTTCTTCTTTGGTAGATTACAGAGATTCATCTCCTAGTCAAGAAAGGAATAACATGGGACTTGATTCTGCCAAGTCCCCAAACCTAAAACTAGCAGACCAACCAAACAAAATGTATCTTGTATATATGTACAAGTTCAATAATTTCACCAAAGCATCACGCTTGGTTATCCCACTAATCAGCTAATGATTTCTGTAAAAGGTATAATTTTATCTGAATTACCAATGTAAGTAGATCATGGAGTTATCAATAAGAATAGCCCTTGCACATAGAATTTGATAATATAACGATAGGAAATGGTCACCTGCTGTCCTCTCGAAGCTTGACATCAAACTCCTTGCTTGGTGGATACTTGGGCAAACTCAATGGATCACAAGGTAGTGGTTTTGTTGTGAAGAACTGGAAAAACAGAAACACATAATTAACCAATTAGCCTGCAAATTCAACAGCATTAAACCATTAAGAAGGGATTAGATACCGCAATGCTTGAAAACTTACCTCACTTTGAAGTGCAGAAGTAGCCGTTCCACGGACATCAGGTTCTGTTGCAAGAAGGGCTTCCAAAAGGGACAAAGCTGATGAAGGGAAGTCCTTGAAAGTCTCAGCAACACATCGCTTGTAAGGATGTTGAGGTTTGAAAATGGTGGCATGCGGCAATTTTGATCTTTTCCAGTACTCTTCAGATGGTGAGCCACAAAGTTTGAAGATCTTATGCAATTGCTCCACCTATGAATTATAAATTAAGAGACATTTGACATCCATTCAGTTTCCATATTACTGAGGACTAAATAGGCATTACTCGCAAACAATTTTACAATCCTACAAGTAAAATTATTTAAGTTGCGGAGTCAAGTTAGCATTACAGCATATAAAGGTAGATCTAGGGTGTGGATGGAAGTATGTTTGTCAGGCATTTAATATACTGGCTTCAGAGCGAAGTACAGAAACATATACTTAAATCATAATAGCACGATAAAGCTAGGACAAGCACCTCTGTTCTTCCAGGCATGATAGGCTTCCCAGCAAACAATTCAGCAAGTATGCACCCAGTGCTCCACAAATCCACTGAAGCTCCATAGTCTGTAGAACCAAGCAAAAGCTCAGGTGGTCTGTACCACAACGTTACTACACGACTTGTCAGAGGCTGCTTCTGAGAAGATCGGAAGAAAGTTGCCAGCCCAAAGTCACCAATCTTGAGCTTGCCATTATAATCTATTAGAAGATTTGAGCCCTTGATGTCACGATGCAAAATCCCACGACTATGGCAATGCTCAAGTCCGCAGAGTAGCTGTTGCATGTAACATTTAATCTGCAAGACCAAAACATAAAATCCTACATAAGCAAATATGAAAGAAAGAGAGATAGATTAAAATAGTACAACATACTCATTGAAATTTTATGGTCTCAACAACTTAAACTAGAGTGGGGAATGCGAACCTGTTCCTCAGTGAACTTAACCCCAGGTGTCGCTGCAAGCCCCGCAAGATCATGCTCCATGTATTCAAATATCAGATATAAACTTCCAGACACCCTTGAAGTTATTAGACCTTCAAGCTTCATGACATTTGGGTGATCAAGCCTCCGAAGAATAATGATTTCTCTAGCCATAAAACGAACACTTTCAGGATCCATATTTGCAAACCGTACTTTTTTTAATGCAACTAATTTATTGTTCTCCAGATCATGGGCTCTATACACACTGCTATAAGTTCCTTGTCCAATCTGCACATTAGTTTAGAGATATGAATGGTAAATTCCCTAAAACTAATTTATTTTCCGAATGACCACCACAAAATCAATCTTGAAAACTCAGATAAATTTCAAAGTAATACCAAGGTTTTCTACACTCTATCAGGTTCTATCTAACTGAGCCTATACACCTAAGTACAATCAGGCCTGATGTGTCTAACCATCTAGATCTCATCACAATTTCGAACACTACAGTATAGTCCTTTTCCTAGCATATGCACACATTTTGATGAACAAATCAAACTAATTTCAGTTCAAATCAGTTGTTTCCACGAGAAACCTAGCAATATACTGCAGAAAGAAATTTAAAAATACACTTACAAAAGAGTTTATCCTTCGCATTCTCAAAATGCAAATGTTTCTTATAACAAGAGCCCGGTAGAAATTAGTATATTGGAAAGCTAATAGTTAGACTACTTCTTCTGTATTATGGCCCAAGAGACGCCAACAACAAAACAGCAATTTAACGTGTTCATTCACATAACTCAAAAAAGAATCATGGCCTCTCGCACATTCTAAAACAATAGACCTCTAGATTTATGATATGGTAACTACATGTCTCCCTACTACCTAAACCTATGGAAAATATAAACTTGGTCAAGAATCAATGAATTTTTGCACAAATTCATACCACTAACAAGAATCAATATCAATAAATCAAAATTAAAAATGAACTTTATGGAGAAACATGATGATCAACTGACCTTATCTAACTTCTCGAATGAGTCAGCCTTTCGTGGCACCCATCCATTGATGGCTTCGCCAGCCGCCGCGGTCAGCCAAGATGGCCAACCAGCAACAACCTGTGCTCCTCTCTCCCCAACCCCTACACTACTAATCCTATTGATCCTAGGCCGCACTACCTGCACTGCATCTACCCCAACATCCGTCCCCCGCCTTTGCAGCTGGGACTTCGCCTTCTTATCCACCTCCCCCTCATCAGAGGTCCCCACATCATCCTCCACAACCAGTTTTTTATGTATCAGCCGCGTGGTGGCCTCATTACGAGCACCTTCTGGCTCCACCACCACAGTCACATTCTCCCTCTTAAAGGAACCTAATCTTTTGGAGGTTTTCTTGGTTAATTCCTTATCTTTAGCATTGTTTTCTGCAACATATTTGTCTGCTCGAGTTCCTTTCGAGCAAATGCCGCCCATACTTCTAATTCTAATGCTTCAAGATCACCTTTTTTCACCCAGGGAACTATAAGATATAATCAACTCTCCACACATTAAACTTCTCCCAACTATCAAATCAATCACATACTATCAAAACTAATGAACCCAGATCCAAAAACGCACAAGATTTAAAAATCCACACACAACCCAGATCCCAAAAGAACAAAAAAGGACTAAAATGAATCAAAAAGCCAAGCCTTTTCTATCAAATTAAGAAACCCCAGGTCCCAAAATCAAATAAAAAAAAAAAATAATAAAACCCTTCTTTAACTTGGAAAATGCAAGTACAAAACCATACCAACAAAGACCAAACCGAAATTTCAGAAACTGTAAAAGAGAAATTTGTTAAAGAAAATGTATGCGCTTATGACAAAGAATATTTTCGGTGCAACAGACACCAATGAAGTAGGTATCCAACTAAGAAAGCAGACAAAACTGACCAAAAATCTTGCCCAAAACTGAACAAGACTTCCTCATTTTGGACAAGTAAAATGAGTTGTAATATTCACACCAGAAACATAAAAAAATTAAATTAAATTAAAAATTAAAAAAAACATAGAGAGAGCAAAATACGGATCTGGGGTTGATCCTAGAAATGCGAAGAGCCAATAGATATTTTTGGGTAGTGAAAGATAAGTCCAAAACTAAACAAAAACACATGAAAAAGAGAGTTTTTATAGGTTTATACTTTTATGTTAAAGAGAAGATTTGATTTTAAGATTTTGAGAGAATTGTAGAAGATGAGACAAGTCTAGGAGTTAAATCCTTTTGGTCCCTAAGGTCAGGTGTAGCTAACAAATTTCGGTAGAATCTGATAGTAGTATTTAGGTCCTTGCATGTCAAGTATAAGTCATTTGAAAAAAAAAAAAAGTATAACTGTCTAAAATACCCTTAATCTATTAATTTTTATTCGAGATATTCTTGTACATAGGCAATCCTTCCTAGTTTAATTCTCAAAATGTCGAAGGTTTATTTAAATGACAGATTTAGTTAAAATGTCAAAGGTTTGTTAAGATGACAGATTCAATCAAAAATAGACAGAATGCACTAGACTATTAAGTTTAATATACTCTAGCATGCTTTAATTAGACTATTAAACTATACTGTTAAATGTTACTTTAGGCTACACTATCGAGTCTAACATAATCCAACATTATATATCAGTAATATATTATTTATTGTTTTATTAAAGGTATAATATGTAAGTTATTAGATTTTATAACTGCTGTTGATACAGAAGTCTACACCAGCCAGTGAGATCCGATTGACCTTGCTGGGATCAAAATTGATGTGTGCGTGATTAAGAATAATCAGCAATGTAAGTAAACAGAATGCAATAAAGCAAAGACAATGAGAGTTTTAAAGTGGTTCGGCCAGGTTAACCCTGAAGCCTACGTCCACTGTTTTTGTATTTGCTATGAGAGCTTACAATATAGTTCCTATGTCAAATTCATAACCCCATCGTCCTTGTTTGAGGAGATTTATACACTAGATCTGTACAAAGAAAAGAGCGAAATTAAGGGGATTACAATTGATTTGAATCACAATTCTGATATTCTCGCGATTGGGCGTTGTGATTACATAGTGATCACGGTTGATCTAGTCATTCCCGTAATATTTGGGACCTGAAATAATCTAGAGGTTGATTGAATAATTCCTTGAACTGTCTGCGACTAGCTTATGTTGGGTCTAGCTTCGGCTCGACGAGCTTATGCTGGGTTGATTAATCATTGTTGCCGAGCTTATTCTGGGTCGAGTTATATCCTCGCATTGGCCCGAGCTTGGCGGAAAAGCCACACACAACAACTGGATTTGTACTTTAAATAAAACCTGCATATTTTGAAAAATTGTGATTATTGGGTTAGCTATATACATCTAAACCCCTATTTTTATAATTCTATTAATTTTTAATTTCATTTACATAAAAAATATTAGGGGTTAAGACTCTTACTAAAGTAAAATTTAGAAAGAAATTACCTTAAATTATCAAATTCTACTGAACCTTATTTATTTAAGCCAAATCTCAAGGACCAAAATTTATTTAACTTACAAGTCTAGTGAGATCAAGCATGAACATCAAACTATTTAGATACTGGTGGTGGACAATTGAGGTGATGCCACGTGGCATTGTGATGGGACCTAGGGATGCATACGGGGCTCGTTACTATTGGAGAGCGGCTCGAGCTCGACTCGTTTCATAAAATTATTGGCTCGAGCTCTGTTCAAACACTTATTAACCGAGCCGAGCTCGATTAAATAATAATGTAGGAACAAAAAGCCTCTCTCTTCTGTTTAACTCAGACAAATTATCATACACTTACACTGCAAATCAACAAATAAAAAACAATTCAACTTCAATTTAATCAATTTCACCAAAATCCTAGAATTCAAACTAGGAAAATGAGCCAACCACTTGATCCCAAAGAAACCTTCATCCCAAAAACAACATTCAAAGCAAAACATAAGCTCTAAATTCAACAATCCTTCATCCCAAAAACAACATCCAAGCAAAACATGAGCTGTAAATTTAACAATCCTTATCCAAAAACAACATTCAAAGGAAAACACAAAATAGAAGCAAACATTAAGCATATGTAATTAAGTTCATGGGAAACAAAAAAGCATCCTATCTATCACACGTCTTCTTCTGCCGTAGCAGTTACACATGCTACATAAACAAGAGCAGTGGCTTCTCTTTCTTGCATCCATCTGACCCACGAAGCTTCTCTTTTCTTGCATGAACAACAAGACCAGCAACCAAAGATATTTCATTTCCATATGGCTACCAAATAGAAAAAAAAAAAGAAAAAAAAAGATTGCATCAGATTACTAAAACATCAATGTGAATAAATAAGAATATCAATGAGAAATATTCAGAGCTGGTGCAGGGTAAATGAAGACTGAGGTGAAATAAGGTTAAAGGGAAAATGTCTTTATTTTAGGGATGTTATGGTGCAGAGGTGAAATAAGGTGGAAGGGTAAATGAAGGATGGTCATTGGACGGTAGTAGCAGAATGAAGGCTGGACAACGGTGGTGTCTCAGATCTTGCGGTGTGATTTGGCGGAGGTGAAATAAGGTTGAAGGGAAAATGTCTCTGTTTTAGGGATTTTATGGCCGAATGTCTTTGTTTCAGATTTTAGGGCAAATATGAATATGCTAGCTAAACAAATCGATCAATCTCAGGAGCTCTCCTACTCGAATGACGTCTCGAGTTTCTTAAAAGTTCGCGAGTAGTTTGAATCAAGCCTGAAAAGCTCGACATTTTTCACGAGCTTGAAGATGAGCTCGAACTTGTGAACTACTCGATTTTCGACGAGTCGAGCCTGAGTTCATCACGAGTCGATCCCAAATAGCTCACGAGTCTGGTTAGGTCCCATGGAAATATCCTGTGGGACAAAGACATGGAACTGGTAAGGCGTGAGGGCCTGATCGATCACATTTGTAGGACTTGGACATTTATTAAATTAATTTATGTGAAATTTAGTTTTTATTAGTGATTTTTTTTTAACTTTTTTAAATAATATCACAGTGGGGTCACTTGACCATAAAATTATTAAAAATAGATATATATTTTATAATAACGAAAATTTTGATCCCACTAATAATATTGTATTTTATTGATGTTGGGATTCGAAAATATCCATATTTTTTTTTCACATTGTCTCTCTTTCTCAGATCCTCTCTTCTTCTCTCATTGTTTCTTCTTCTTTTGGTTGTATTAATCAAGAAAGACTACTTCTTTGGAGATCTCAAGGTAAAATGATGCTCAATTTTTTTCATTTTTTGTTATTTTGCTTAGAAATCTCTTCTTCTATTTTTCTTAATTGATGAAAGATCTTTTAACTTTATTGACTAGAAATACTGACTACGCCCCTGATTGCAGGTAAGATCAATTATTCATCTTGGTTTGTTTTATGCATCTTATCATTCGTAAGACAAAAAAATATCAACCGTATTAGATTATTTAAAATGTAATAAAATTTAACTTTCTCTAACCTCTCACTTATGTGATTCAAATGCAAAATTCTTGTAAAAATTAGTGCATCACTATTTTAAAATATTTGAATTTGATAGGTAAACCAAGAACAATTTCACATAATGAATAAATGCATGTAAAATAATGTGACTATCCATAAACATGACTTGTTAAAATAAATTCATAATAAGCATATGATATTGATCATATATACTAGGTCCATGAATAGTGTTGACCTCTCTTATGTTTGATGTGCCAAAACTATCTAAAAAGTTGATTGAATACTAACCATAACATGTTAAGGTATGACACAAGTCATAATCAAATAAAAACAGGTTTTATCAGGTGGTACGTTCGTGCGTCAAGCAAGGTATGATCGTGCACAAGCAAGGCACAACCGTACACGAGCAAAGAACACCCATCCATAAGAGAAAGCTGCCTAGATGACCGTGCATCTTTGCACGACATCATTCCTCATGGTCGTTCATCATTCTACCAACCTGAGTGGCACTAGCACGACCATCCTGCACGACTATGCCTTCAAGTCAAAAAGTCAAGATAATTCAAATCCAGAATCCTTCGCGCTCTTGACTTCATTTAAATTGGTCAAAGTTAAAACTCAAAGTTCAAAATTGGAACGATCATTCCTTGTGGTGGAATGACCGCTCATATCTGAAGAGTTTTGCATGACATCGTTCCATGAAGCTGTTCACGCTTCTAAAAAATTAGTGGATTTGGAAGATCATTTGAGTGTGCCCGTTCCATGTGGTGGAATGACCGTGCGTTGTTCTTGCACAACCATACGGCATGGTGGAACTACCATTTCAGTTACCCTAGATCTAAAAAGTGTGACCTTTGCATCAGGAACAATCGTTCGCCATATTGAATGACCGTTCCTTTGGGTTTTTTTAAACTTTATCAGACTGCATTAAATGTTGCAATGGCTAATCTTTTTAAGGTTATAAAACCTTGACATTTCTAGGTTATATGAGAGAGAAGAGATCTGAAAAACATTCTCACATACTACCTAGAGCTCAAGATCTAAATCAAATACTCTCACTTGTACCCATTTTGTAAATCCTTGAAAGTTAACTTGTTCTTATTGTGTGTATAAGCCTACATTGAAGAGGTAATCATTCATTGATGCGTGTTTCCTACAACATGCAATATGTAGCAAGTATACTAGTCACTCAAGTAATAAAGTGATGAGTGAGTATCGTTCCCACGAGGATTTATAGCTAAGCACTAAGTTTCCTACTGTTCTCAAGTTGGAGAAATCGACTTCTTTTGGATTAATGGGAGCAAAAAAAATAAAATAAAAACTAAAGCTGAAATTACTAACTTAAAAATTTAACTACGAACGCGAGATGAAGAACATGGATAAATTCAATTCAATTAAAACGGGTAGGGTTTTGACTTCATTTGGACTTTATGGGTTAAACCTAAGAATTAAACTAAATTCATATTTATATGCATTGATTGTAAATCGAACTCTCTAAAGTGTTAAACATACCTTCTCAGGCTATGTTTTCCTACTCTTCCTTATTAACCTTCCGCACCCAACAATTTGAAAGTTAACAAATCCAAGCTCATTAAGCATAAGAATCATACAATGATTTCATTGATTCTTGAATCTATCTCTAGTATCCAATACTACAATGGTGATTACCCAAGAAGCCTAACATGATTCATTTCTCAATCTCATCATGTTCATCA